ATTTTTGTTGACCTTTGTCCATGGAAGGTCCCTGCAAAATTTCATTGAAATTGGTTCAGGGGTTTTGGAGAAGAAGTCGAAAATGTAAATTGTTTACGGACGCACGACGGACGACGGACGACGGACGACGACGGACAAAAGGCGATCGCAATAGGTCACTTGAGACTTTGTCTCAGGTGACCTAAAAATACCTAACAGGGGTTTTAACAATATATGAAATAATTAGCCGTTACACCGTACCTTGTAGGTGAACATATCACCTTGACGGAGAGCCCTCGCTGACACCACAGGATCCAGTACAGAGATCCTCTTCCCAACCGAACCTGTTTTAATGCAACACCAGTTCGACATCAAATAAAATATCAGCTGAGTAAAATGTTAACTTTGATATTTCACATGATGTCCACCAGTATAATATCACTTTTTCTATAATATGTGTTGATTTTTTCTTATCCATGCCAAAAAGTATCACCTACCGGGTATGTTGATAAATTAACTTCTACAAAATTTTCGACTTTTGAAAATGACTCTTTTGAGAGTCACTGTACCCCTTTATATACCTAACACAATCATATGAACAGCATAGTTACCATGTTCTGGGGTCGTATCCACGGTGAAGATGAGGTCATCAGCGGAGGTGTCCAGATCAACGACATACAGGGAGGCGTTGGTGACCAGGACATTAAAGTTCTCCCGTACAAATATCTGTTCTGTCATCACCATTGGTGCTTCATCATTGATCAGCTGATACAGAAAATAGTAGCAGAGTTAACCTCACGATACAAATGAACCCTTTTAGCATAGATTCATGGATTGCTTTAACTGGTTACTAATTGATTAGTCATTTGACTGATTAGTTAATTGGTTGGTCTTTCAATTGATCAGGAAATTTGTTGGTCTTTTATTTGATTAGGAAATTGGTAATCATTTGATTGGTAAGTTAATTTGTAGGTTGTTTGATTTAAGTCACTCATTTATTGATCAATAAGTAAATTGCTTTGTTCTTCTTTCTCATTGGATCAAAAAAGGTTATAACAGGAAGGATGATACAGTCTCAGGTTGATGTTCCTGTCAAGGGAGACAAGACAGACGAAAAAGGAATACAGGTCTTAACTCATATCTCATGGTATGGTAAAAGGCCAGAAAGGATTAAATACAGGTCTTAACTCATATCTCATGGTTTTGTAAAGGCCAGAAAGGATTAAATACAGGTCTTAAATCATATCTCATGGTAATGTAAAGGCCAGAAAGGATTAAAAACAGGTCTTAACTCATATCTCATGGTATTGTAATTAAGGCCAGAAAGGATTAAATACAGGTCTTAACTCATATCTCATGGTATTGTAATTAAGGCCAGAAAGGATTAAATACAGGTCTTAACTCATATCTAAACAGGTCTTAACTCATATCTCATGGTATTGTAAAGGCCAGAATGGATTAAATACAGGTCTTAACTCATATATCATGGTATTGTAGGCCAGAAAGGAATAAATGCAGGTCTTAACTCATATCTCATGGTTTTGTAAAGGCCAGAAAGGATTAAATACAGGTCTTAACTCATATCTTATGGTATTGTAAAGGCAAGAACGGATTAAATACAGGTCTTAACTTATATCTCATGGTATTGTAAAGGCCGGAAAGGATTAAATACAGGTCTTAACTCATATCTCATGGTATTGTAACGGCCAGAAACGATTAAATACAGGTCTTAACTCTTATCTCATGGTATTGTAGGCCAGAAAGGAATAAATGCAGGTCTTAACTCATATCTCATGGAATTTTAAAGGACAGAAAGGATTAAAAACAGGTCTTAACTCATATCTCATGTTATTTTAAAGGCCAGAACGGTTTAAATACACTTCTTAACTCATATCTCATGGTAATGTAAAGGCCAGAAAGGATTAAAAACAGGTCTTAACTCATATCTCATGGTATTGTAACGGCCAGAAACGATTAAATACAGGTCTTAACTCATATCTCATGGTATTGTAGGCCAAATTTATTGTAGAACTTGCTGACCTGTATAGTGATGTTGAGTCGCTGCAATGGTGTCTGGTTGGTGCCGTCAGTGACAATGAAGAGAAAGCCATCTTTAGTCGGCTCTTGGTGAGTGTGGTCAGTTTGACTGTAAGAAATGTGTCCGTCCAACAACTCCTGGAGAGAAAAGGACGTCACTGTTCGCGCCTCCACCTCTTCTGACCCCGTGGTCTCTGTAGATACAGTATACATTTAGGTCTCAGAACACCATCTTATGGCTGTCTGTGATTTGTACTTTTATTATTTACATAGCTGAAGTGTATCATTATATGGCCAGTACATATTGTAAGTAACTCAACTTTTAAGAAATTATCCTATTTATACTATAGAAGGACATAATTTAGGCACTAGTAATTGTGCAATAATCCACACGTCCAATTTAAATGCAAATTACTGTTCAAGTTTTATGATCCACTACCTGGACGTGTGCTTCGTATCTCCCCAAAGGCTGGTGGTGTTTCTATGATAAAGGACAGACTGGACACTGGACTGTCAGCATCTGTCACTTTGATGTTCTCCAAGGTGATGGGGCTCTCTCCTCCCTCCTCAATCTGTGGAAAACACATTTTTGTTGAGATCACAGAATTGTAACGCTCGCTCCTGGTATAGGAGGCGTCCTGTTTGTCCTGGGATGGAATTTTGGTTCGATAGAGAATAGACACAAGTAATAACGTTCGCATATTTATTAACTCCAGCATATAAAGTTCACAGAAATCCTTACACGGTTCACAACCCGTTCATTTATCTCCCGTAATCCATACACGGTTCACAACACGTTCATTTATCTCCCGTACTCCATACACGGTTCACAACACGTTCATTTATCTCCCGTAATCCTTACACAGTTCACAACACGTTCATTTATCTCCCGTACTCCATACACGGTTCACAACACGTTCATTTATCTCCCGTACTCCATACACAGTTCACAACACATTCATTTATCTCCCGTAATCCATACACGGTTCACAACACGTTCATTTATCTCCCGTACTCCATACGTTTCCTTTACAGTTCTTTTACACAACATCCACTTTCAGTCTCCATTCTCCATACCACTAAAAACTCTAAAACTAGCTAAACTACCGGTATCCTACTCCTAATAAAATGTAACTCTCTCCAATAGTAGTGTGTGCTTTGCATTATATATCACCCCAGTATTTATATGTGCTAAAATTAGCTTACACGACCGTTGGTCAATGTGGTGATGATGTGATGCTGTGCAGTGGACATTATTGTGGACATTATTGATTTATTCTAAGCCTTGACCAGTACTTTAAGAAGTTACCTAACTTATCCACAGCAGCACCTTGGCCTCTTCTATATTTAGCGCTTCCCAAATAAATATCAATACTACTACTGTCCATATTCTACGGGTCATTACAGAATTGTGTAATCTATGTAACATGAAGTGATAACTTTTTCACAACACAGTTACACTACTACATCACAAAGCTAGATCATAAGAACCAGACAGGTACAAGGCTATAAGAACAAGACAGGTATAAGGCCATAAGAACCAGACAGGTACAAGGCTATAAGAACCAGACAGGTACAAGGCTATAAGAACCAGACAGATACAAATTAAGGCTTAAGACGTAAACATGGAAGTACTTGCTGTCAATCAAAATACCTTTTATTCTCATTTACTTTTTAGTCCAGACGTGACAAAAGTTAATTCTAAAATGTTTAAAGCTTCATTGAATGAGTTTTGAGATCTATCTATAATTATTGATGTGTCACCTGTAAACTGTGAGAGATTCTTATCTTTATGTTATATTGGAATACCTTTGATGCATTTATTGTGTTTTTTTCGTCAGAGTTGTAAGTATTTCAGCTACAGCTAGATAGGGACAGATGTAGGAATACAGATCGCCTGGGCACATACACTTTGTTTATAGAAGTTATTAGACAGTTAACATTTTGAGGTATTGCTGACTTACCTGTGTTTCTGGTCCAAATTTAACCAATGGGACCTGGTTGTTGATGGGCTGGATTATGATAGACAGAACCTGATTGGTCAACATATTACCACTCGTATCACTGACATTGAATGCAAGGACCTCTGTGATTGGCTGACTTCCAATCTCACGATCTGATTGGTAACTACAAATTATGAAAGTTGGTTAATACATGAAAGCTTTAGTCCACAGACTAATTTTACAGATACTCTGGACATTCCACCTAATACTTTCAGCTTGAAATTTGGCTTTTGTCCATTACCCATGTGTGTAAATAAGGCAGGTTTTTACAGTAACACTAATGTACTTAATGTGTGTCAAGTCTCCGACTCTTACCTTATATGGTGGTTGTTGATGTCGGACTGTGTGAAGACCCCACCCCTCTGTAGGAGACGTGCCCCACGATACAACATACGCCCATGTACAGGGTTGGAGGAAACAGTTACTCTCAGACGGTTATCTTCATCGTCCTGGTCCACAAATGCTAAAACATTCCTCTCAATCACCACAGTTTCACCTGCAATATATAGCCACTTACTTGAACTATCACATCTAATTCTATCACTCTCAACATTTTCTTTTGGTTTTCATGAGATAATGGAAAAAGAAATTTCACGAACATGTTTGGCTTTTTTGTACGGGACATTTGAGTTTTGATTTCTGTTTTAGTAGCTATATTTTGTATACTGAAGTATCTTACGTTCGTTGATGTTGATCCTACAGCTGGCTGTGTCTAACACTGATGGCGATGACTTGTCTACCCTGACCACCGACACGTTGACACACAGACTGGCCTGATGAGCACCGTCGCTCACCTCCAGGATAAATGTGTCATCTAGCTGTCGCCCACTTCCCCCATGATGGTACTGGAACACACGATCTAGCAGCTCGTCATAGTGGAACGACTCCCCTAGGGACCACAATAGGGATGCACACATATTTTATGGTACACTAGGATGAAGCAGACAAATATTTTACTGATAACAATGTTTAGTACACTACCAAACCTTAAAGAACTTATACATTTAAAACATTTAAATTAAATGCTTGACGGGTCAAAATGAACTGTAGTGCCTAGTGGTAAAGGATAGTTCTGATTAATGTGGACTATCTTATGTACAGTTTGGTTGTGTTACATCCTATTAACTTATCATTTAAGGACGAGGCAGGTTTTGCTCTTACTGGCGACCCAGTGGTGGAGGGCTATAGATCGTAGACGATAAGATGACTTAGCCACTCAGCCACCATGGCCCCATCTTATGCAGGTAACAATCCAACAGAGGTAAATATTGAGTGTTTAAGCATCTTGTACACATCAGTGCCCATATTCATGAAACCTTTCTTTTGCTTAAACTCCGATTCTGTGCTCAAGCCCAATTTCTTGTTCCGGTGATAAATGAATTTAAGCTAAATATTTGGTTAATGATTTGGAGAAATTATGGAGAGACTTCCAGCTGAATACCGTAACAATTTTAACGTTTCTCATGACTTACGCAAGTTACAAGAAAATTGGGTTGAGCACAGAATCTATGCATGAGCACAAGAACGGTTTCATGAATACGGGCCCAGAATTTTCAATTTCTAGACCATACTAGATCTTACTGTGCCACCTTCTATAACCTTGTGAACTGTACAAATGACGTAACTAACCATGAACAGTGAACCTAAGTAAATTATTGACTGTTTTAACATGATCATTGTTGGCTGCCTACTTACCTTCCCGGATTACCACCTTCCCACCGATGTGGTTTTTCTCTATCCTTCCGAGCACAGGGGCCTGGATCAAGGTCACAAGGAGGTCAGATGTGGGCGTGTCTGCATCAGTGACTGCCAGTAGAGACTGACCGAGAGGAACCATGGAGCCCTGTGATACGGTGACTCTAGGAGAAGGGTTCAGGAATCTAGGAGGCACATTGTTTACAGGGAGAACACGGATACTAAACTTCTGTTCTTGAGGGCTACCATTGGGTGGCCCATCATCTGAAACTGCAAAAAATTGATCTTATTAATATACATTTGAATCATGAAGAATACAATAATATTTTAAGCTTTAGCTGTTCCCCTTGAAATGGACAATACTGAACAGCTATTTTGGAACCTACAAATTTAATTACACAAAACCGTCCATTTTTTGGTCAAACTAAACACTTTGCAGGTTACATAATCATAAATGATAAAAGAAATTCATCCAAATATCTGAAGCCTTCTTACCCAGTATCTGTATTTGTTTTAAGTATTCTTATTTAATGCACTGATTGAGTTGTGAGAGAGTGACCAGTAAGTTATCTTTACATTTTACAAGAGGATTTTCGTGATTGCTATACATTGTTAGTAATACTACTACTACATCAGACAGACCTGTAAAATAAAAGCTGAACTCCTTTTCTGCCGTGCCCACATCAGATAGGGGAGGCCGGTACACGATTCTGTTGTTGTTGATATCTGCCTGAGTAAATCGTGAGGTAGAACGGAAGGGTGTGTCAATGTGTTCCAGTGTCCCCTCCCCATCCCTGAGGGGGCGTGTCACTATGTATACAATGGCAGTGTCTGGTGTGTCCATGTCCTCAAACGCCAGGTTAGAGCTACTGATGGGCACCACCTGGTTCTCTAACACCTTGGAACACAAGGGGAGATAATAACTGTAATATTTACTAATGGGCACGACCTGGTTATCTAACACCTTATAACACAAGGGGAGATAATAACTGTAATATTTATTGATGGGCACCACCTGGTTCTCTAACACCTTGGAACACAAGGGAAGATAATTACTGTAATATTTACTGATGGGCACCACCTGGTTCTCTAACACCTTGGAACACAAGGGGAGATAATAACTGTAATATTTACTGATGGGCACCACCTGGTTCTCTAACACCTTGGAACACAAGGGGAGATAATAACTGTAATATTTACTAATGGGCACGACCTGGTTATCTAACACCTTATAACACAAGGGGAGATAATAACTGTAATATTTACTGATGGGCACCACCTGGTTCTCTAACACTTTGGAACACAAGGGGAGATAATAACTGTAATATTTACTGATGGGCACCACCTGGTTCTCTAACACTTTGTAACACAAGGGGGGATAATTACTGTGATATTTACTAATGGGCACGACCTGGTTATCTAACACCTTATAACACAAGGGGAGATAATTACTGTAATATTTACTGATGGGCACCACCTGGTTCTCTAACACCTTATAACATAAGAGGCCCATAGGGCCTGTATCGCTCACCTGGATATCTAAGCAATCATGGCAGAATATTCTCCAAATGAGATCCATGGGAATATGCCAGACCCCAAGGCCAATCCTTGTAGCATATATATCTGTATTCAATTTTTCATGCCCAGCAATTTTATGTATGGTTATGGGGTGGGGATCTCAACTGTTTCCAATCTGTGACTCAGAAACTAGGTCCCTATGGTTGTGGCCAGACCCCAGGATCAATTCTAATATCATGACTGCATTTGTCTCTTTTTGCCCAGCATTTGTATATATAGTTTTGGGGTGGGGATCTCAACCGTTTCAAAGTTATGACCCAGGGGTTAAGTCT